GGATTCTAAAATTTCTACCAAACTTGTTGAAAATTTGAATACCTCCACACCAGCCTAAAAATGGACCTTAAGTTCCTAGAACCTCTGATGTTCTTTTAAATCAATGGAAGAATAATTTGTGAACTGTATATAGAGAGTGCATTCATAAATGGGATGATGTATTTTATCACTAATCCAAGATGTCGATATTAGAGTCTATTTTGCTTATATTTTAAGCGATTATACTTTTTTGCAATTCACTGATGATGTATCATTTTCAAACTGCTTTAAATATCCATTAGAAACAAATATTTGAAGCTTTTACTTAATAGTAATTACCTTGAACTGTGCATTTCTAGTTTGTAATACATATTTATTTAGTTTGTGCCTTTGGTTTCTTAAAGTTATATTTGTATTATATTCAGGAAATGCACTTTTATCACTTACAGCTGTGGTTTTAATACTGCCTTGAACTATTACTGTTCTCTTTAACACTTCCAAAGTTTTTGGGAGGAAAAAGGAAAAACCCAAAAGGTTAGCACTAATGAGTAGTAAATCTAAGAGAAACATTCCGGCATTTCTTAATAAGAACGTGGAGATATTGAGTACATCGCTTCCTATTCAGCTGAATACAAAGAATGCCTTCGTCGACCTGTAGTTCTGAAGTTTAAATTAATGAAAGGACAATTTGTTTGCATTTGCTGATGAAAGTAAAAGCATTTTAAAGAGAAATATATGAATTTCTCACACCCAGAAGTCAGGCGGCTGACACTGCACAGCCACACACCGTTCAAGTAAGTTAGAGTGAGAGCACAGTAGTTGGGCTCTCTTATGAAGAACATTCTGGGCTGGAGGCAGAGAATACTCCGTAGTTGTTTCTTTTTCTTAGTTAGACCCATTTTATTTGTGCTTTTTTGTTTTGTTTTGTTTTTACTCTTGCACTACAGTCTAGAGATCCAAATAAGCTGAAAAGTTCACAGTTTAACAGACATTTAAATATATTTATTTTTAGTTGGCATTCTAATCATTATTGATTAGAAGCATGACTCCTGAAGGAAAGAGAAATAAAGCCCAACTCATACTAATTTTTAGCAAAACACTCACCGTATAAATAGGCGTATGTTTTATTTTTAACAACCCAGCAAAATAATGTATAAAACAAGCGTGTCCTTTACTGTCAATTTATCTAGAAGATCTATAATATATAGACTATATATATAATATAATATATACAACATAGCCAAATGTATTAAAACGACAATGTATAATTTGGAATTCACATGCTAACTACATAGAGAGGTATAAAATTAAATTATAATTTTCATAAGATTTTCTTTTTCATCACTGTTAAGACAGTTTCAAACATTCTATCATGCTGTCTCTACTCTTTTTTCTTTTTTCTTTTCCTTCCTTTTTTAAAAATATTTTTTTAATCAGACCAGGCCCCACTTTAATATCACCTAAGAGAGTCAGGGCAAAGTTTTTACATTTATGAGGATATATTCCTGTAAGGACAGCTGTAATGGAGTTCAGTGGTAATGGAAGCAAAAGTACAGTAATAAAGTGTTGAAAGAAACTTTTGGAGAGACTGGAATGTCTTGTAGCTTGTGGGAAAACATAAGGCTACAGATTGGATACAACATTCTTGTTTTCTTGGAGGAACTCACATACACGTAGCTGACCTGACTAGTACTTCAGATCTCAGACTGCTCTTCCACAGCCTTCTGTAAGGTTCTTTATTCTGCAACAAAAAAACAAAAACAAAAAAACAAAAAAAACAAAAAAGCAAAACAAAAAAAAAAACAGAAAACAACAAAAAATTCAACCACAAAATAGTGACTGTTATTTCAGTGTGTCCTTCATGTGAAAGCTATTAAGGACCAAATATACTACTGTGTGTAAGAAGAAATTACTTCCTAAACAGTAACTGAAAATAGTTAGAGTTAAATTTGCTGTGGATTTTGTCTTGGCAGTTGTCATCTTACATTATTTGTCAAAGGAAATGTGTTTGGCAGTTAAAAATCTTTCCTTAGATTTAGTGGTGGACTTTAACCTCTTAAATAAATGTTAGTATATCAGATTGTGTCCTTGAAAAATATTTTACTTGTATGAATCATGACAATGTCTAAATCTTTACTATTCTTCTGGCAAAAGCATCAGTAAGAGAGAAGGTGAAAAAGAGAAGTATAGCCTTTACACCAGGAAAATATTCTTTCTAGCTGCTTACTTTCTCATGAGAAGTAAAGATGTTTACAGTGTATGCCAAGATTTTCAGTTTCTATATAACAACAGTTAGAGGTTCTAATCATACTGAAAATTGTGTTATAATGGCCTGAGCCATGTTGCTAGGAAACAATAGGTTCCAATTTTGTATTCCTGCTCTCACTCCTGTGCTGAAAAGTGACTGGATACTGTACAGGTTCATGTTCTCTGGCTGCAGTTAAATGGTCTTTTGCATTTTGCTCTGGCTTTCAGGCCAGAAGCATGCATTTTTCTACAAGAGCATCACAACAACACGCTGTAAATATTTAAAGTTAAACATTATGTGTCGATATTTGAAAGAAAAAAGTACTTTGAATATTTCATTTTTAAAAAATAAAATTGCAAATGAACGCCGTGTCCCATTTTATTCACGCGCCCAACTGCATTCCCAAGTCAGCCTGGTCACCTGAGATATGAAAAGCGGCTCCCTAACAGGGAACAGTAAAACTGCGTCATCTCAAAAATGTAGGTGCAGAAATCAAAAAGGCATTAATCCTAAGCAGACGTCTCTTGATTTTTATTTTTCATACAAATAGGATCTCTGACACAAATGACCATTTAATAAAAAAAGAAAAGTAGCTGTTGCAAGTTTAAATGCCTCTAGGCTATGACTTTTAAAAAGGTTTCTCCTGTTGATGCCTTTTTCTCAGCAATAGAAAGAAAATAAAGAATTGCCAAACAGGTAGGGGAGAGCTAGGAGGGCAGAGCACCCAAACGCTCTGACAAAAAATGAATGGGGGACAATCAGGAAAGACTACAAGACAACAGCTCTTCCAAGGCTCTACGTCTTGGGCAACTACAATGGCCATTTGGCACTTATTTTTCGCTAGAAGACATTTATGAGTGACACTCGGAAAGCTGGCCAACAGATCGTCCAAAATTCACCTTGATAGTAACGGAGTACCTGTAGTCCAAACAGCCTGCTACTGAAACTCACTTGGAATCCTGGAATTGACACCACTCTAAAATGCCCTGCTGCCTTTTTATTCACTGATATATACATAGATACAGTGAAAAGACTCATGGAGCAGAAGACAATCCTGATTGTCTCAACACAACCCATCAGCAAAAAGAAACGGGGGCAGGGGGGTGTTGGAATTTAGTATCACCTGGAGAATTTTTTTTCAAACTATGCATCCCACCTTCAGAGTACCAAAAGAAAGAGGTAAGAGCTCCTACACTGAGAGAACTATTAAAAGAGATAAGAGATTTCTCCATATTCCTTCCCTATTCACCCTCACTTTTAGAGATCTTTGAATATCAACGCTATTTAAACATTTAGTAACATTACTATCTTAAATTTATATAATTCTATTACCTCAATAATCCTGTGAGGTGAGCAAGGCTCAATTGTTCCCACTTGGCAAATGCAATAATAGTAACAGACTGACTTACCTAAGGTCACACGGAAATCAGTGACAAAGCCGAAAGAAAATTCAAGTCTCATATATTATGTTGATGGGCTCTCTCTAGTCAATCAGGTTTGTTACATCTTCCTACATAAAAATATTCATTTAAAATGCAAATGACAGGGCCGGCCTGGTGGCACAGTGGTTAAGTTGGCATGTTCCGTTTCTCAGCGTCCCAGGGTTCATTGGTTCGGATTCCAGGTGCAGACATGGCACCGCTTGGCATGCCATGCTGTGGTAGACATCCCACATATACAGTGGAGGAAGATGGGCATTGACGTTAGCTCAGGGCCAGCCGTCCTCAGCAAAAAAGAGGAGGACTGGCAGCAGATGTTAGCTCAGGACTAATCTTCCTCAAAAAAAAAAAAACACATAAAATGCAAATGACCTAATGATGAAAATTCAGCCTTTTACTACAAGTCTGGCCAATGACCCCAAATTATGAAAGTGCCCAAATTGGATAGTTTAACTTCACTCCAGCTGCAAACTGCAAAATCACGCTATCCCATTTACTGCAAGGGCAAACATAAGTGACAAGGTTGAATTTATAGCCCACTAACAGGAAGACTAGGCTTCTTGTAACCTTGAAATGCTCAAGGGCAAATCTGGGTTTTATTATTCATAGACTTTGGATTCTGAACTCAATAAAGTGAATCAAATAAAACATACGCTGATGTCTAAACATCCTTAACAGATTTTAAGGCTGTTTCCCACATTTTTAATTCTCTATCCATTCTACCACAAATAATATCTTAAATCCAGCCCTTTGTTTATACCAGACTTAATCAGAGGCCTACCTATATACTAACACAAAGGTACCCTGCCTGTAACAGCCAAACCAGCAATTACCTAAGCTTGTCTCCCTACTGACCTTATCTCTTAACAAATTTCAGAGGAAATGAACAGGTATTTGATAAATTGTCATGTTCCTTGTGGGCTTGCTGACACACTTTTTTCTGAAGAAGGGTGTATACTTGGAAATATATGTGCGTTTTTCTATCTTGACTCAGCGTCTTACAGGTATATGTTAGCATGGCAATATTTTAGATATGGCAAGGATATGACCTTTCTGAAAGGTGCAAGCTATTATGTACTGGGAAATAGCAAGGATGCTCATGCTGGGAAAGAAAAAGTGCAAAAAATTTGATGAATAAAAGGCCAGCAAGAGAAGACAGCAGGTAGGCACATCAACTGGAAAGTTTGACAGTAGCAAAATCAGAAAAGCACTTACCTTTCTCAGGGAATCGGTCCAATATGATAAGAAGGCCTTCATCAATGCTTTATTTACTATATTAATAGCACCTATTTTTGAACATTTTTAAAGGAATATTTTAACACAAATTAAGTAAATAAAGCTTTCAAATATTTTATTAAAATATAAAAGACCATTAATGATTCAAAAAGCTCTTTCGGAAAAGGCTCTGGTAAAGGAACATGTAAACATAATTCATATATTTAGGATTATTCCAGAATGAACAAATTAGAGAGAGTAAAAATTGCTTACACCTATTAAAATTTAAACCCAAACTACAAATAATTAAAAATTATCTAAACATATGCATTTTATTTTGAAAGTCGGCTTTCTGAATTCCTTTGCAAGTTAAAGTGATGCTTGTACTTCTACTAATGGTAAACAGCCCACAAGACATTATTGTGGCCATCCTCCATCTTTGCACTCCCATAGCATCCATGTTAAACACTCAGAAATCAGATCTTGCCAGCACACAGAGAGTAGCTGTCTCTTGGCAGTCCACTAATTATTAACCACTACTCATGTACAACCCAGAGTTCCAGTTTATTAGTTTACAATGAAACTCAGCCTTTTCCTATAGACCATGGACCAAAGTATTTGTATTGACTCATTCTGCCTCTAAAGACAGATCTACAGACACATTGGGACCCTCACTTACCATGTACTTATTACCTTTTATCGTTATTTTCTTGTCTTTTATTGTTGCTTTTTTTAATTGTCTTTTGTTATTGTTTTCTTGTCCAACTAGACAGTGAGCTGCCTGAGCTGAGGGCAAGGTGTTTTACTTCTCTACCCCAGTACCTATTGCGTTTGTTGAATGACTGAATTCTATGAGCCCTGAAGCAACTTGACATGTAATGAAATCACAAGAGTCATGAGAATAGAAATGCAAGAAGAAAATACAAATACCCATCACTGTGTAAAATCTTGGCTCTCACTTAGGTTGCAATCACTTGGAATCGTTAAGAATTAGTGTGACCATAGGCTTTCCAATGGCCTTGTAGGGCTACCGAATAGGAAGACTGCTTGTAAATCAGCTACTCCGGAGCCGCAGCTGCTGAAGCTTCCCTTCAGAATGAGGGTTTACATGGAGTAGCAACAACTGGGGTGGAGATAAAAAGAAGAAAAGTCCACTTTGTCTGATTTGTAATACAATTTCAAATCCTGTAGCATCAAATATAGTAAACATTTAGAGCATATTTTAAATTATGGGATTTTTTAAACTCCAGATTGGTCTGTGGATTTTACACTAGGCGAGGAGCTTGCTTTCAGAATTAAACAGAAATTCTTCACTCTTTATCTGGTACTTGTTTTAGCGCACAGTGCAAAGCTTTACAAATCCCGAAAGAGCCTACAATGCCATAGCTAGTGGAGAGCATAATACCTAATGTGGAACCGCACATGACAATGACGAGGGGCATGAACCAGCTTCCCACCGCGTGATCAAGCAAGACATTTTAAAATCATTTACTATCAAATAATATTTCACTAAAAATGGTGTTTTGAGAAAAACTGAGGATTATTTTTATTTATATTTGACAAGAATTGACATTAATCTTTTATAAAGTATCATTATGTTTTAAATCGTTTTCCATTTGTAAATAACTGAAAATAACCTGTGGAATTATTTTTCCCAATCCTCATTTCAAAGCTCCTCGTTATCCGCAAAGTCCATTTCAGCTTTAACATCACACTAGATGCTTCCATTACAGGACTATGAGGGTTTTAGAAATACATTTATAGCTCACTGAACTGTATTATCTACAATATATAAGACTTAGCATATATTTAAATTACTGAAAATAAAGTACAAGGTATTTTATTTTTCTTCATGGTGCTTTCAGGAAGACATCAGGATCTTCTCTTCTCCCTAAAGGAAAATAATAACAGAAATCAACAACAGATCAACTTACAAGCTATTAAAATTACAGGTTAACTCGAACTTATAATCATAAAATTTCCAACTGCATAAAGCTCACAAAGATACAACCCAATGATATAGCTCAAGCAACTAGTATTTAAAACTGAGTTATAAAGAATGGAATACAGTGCAGAAAAGAACAGTTAGCCAATTTGTAAATTGGAGTTTATTGATATTTCCATTATAAAGGCTAACTATTCACTAATTTAATTTACCACCTGAGTCTAATAGTTAGTTTATGCCTGAGCCTGGGTCCCTGTCAAAAAAGGATATAACAGCTCACTTTCTTTTATAAAAAATACTTATTGTTTCAATCAAGGCATATCCTCTTGCTCCAAACAAATGACTAACCCCTTTCAATAGATGAGTGGCCGATCACATAGCTGATAGCTGCAAACATTGGCGAGTATTCAGTCATTAGCTTGACACATACGCTAAAATAGCTTTGCTCGGGAGATGTAACAATCTGTGCCTGTGGAACAATAAAGTCTACTAATTTAACTTCCATTGCTACAACAAAATTACATTAATTCAAGCACTACAAATTCAGAAATCAGGATCTTGTGGGCCAGGCTAACAATTAGCCTTTCCATCCCTGAAGGGAAAAGTTAGTTTACTAAGCAAAGTTAAAGGACAGCCCAAGTGTTCTCCGAATTGTCCCATCTTTCAAATTATTTGTGTCTGAATTAGTGAAGTGAAATGGTACTTACATATTGACATAAGGGACTGGGAAGAACAAGACAGGACAAGAGAGATTAAAATGTTTTGGGCTTATAGAATTTTTTACATTTTTGCAGAGTTTTATTAAAAGTTTACAGTACGGCATATTGAAATCATAGCATGGGAATAGCCTCCTCTCACTTGATTTGCTGACTACATCTACTTTCTCATTGCATTTTTCTTACAGAACTTCCTATATGTTTATGAATAGCTTGACTCAAAACCCTGCGCTTCCAAACCCTGTCAAAAATTAACAGTACATCATACCTGTAGTACTTTGTGTACTTCTAGCTGAAGACTTCTCAACTGGATACTGCAGAGGTATTACAATGCCTTGATCTGGCTTCTGAAATGCTGAAATGAGATTTTTTATTTTCCGGAAAAATCTTTTATGTACCCCAGGTGCTGTCTGGAAAATAAAAGGCCAAGCAAATTATTCACATACCTCATAGTGATACAAAAAGGCCTCTGAAATGTGTGAGGGATGCTTAGAGAGGTAACATTTGTGTAACTTGTTCAAATATTTGAAAACAAAGGAAGAAGGAAAAACAACATTCCGGAAGAGCTTACTTTGGTTGGCTGAATTTCCCTGCAAGAGGAGCTAATGAGCTGTCATTTCAGTTCTCCCAAGGGTGGTATTAGATTGTACAAGCTCTTGCTCATCGCCCTGCTCTTCCTGCCTGCTGCCCATTATACAAACCGAACCTCTAAGGGTATACAGGCCATTCCCCACAATAAATTCACCAGCAGAGAGGATGCAGGTAAACACAGAAAAAACACAGATCCTACAGGTCGTTAGTAAAAAGACTGAAGAACCAAAAAAACAACAAAAACCACCACCACCAACCCATCCTCCTTGTCCTCACTCCACAATATAAAACGTTCCACAGGAAGTTAAAAATTGACTGCTATGATACACTCAATGCATGGCTAGTTAGTCCTCACACTCTTTCACCTCCCAATATGTCCTGCCTCATCCTTCACATTCAATTTTTTCCTCTTTCGGAAACTTCCCTAACCTCCCCAAAATTGCCCTCTGTCAACACTTCACTGTGACAAGGTTTTCTCTATGACACAAAAATGAAAGACTATATAAGGTCACCTTTATTTATTTATTTGTTTGTTTTTGAAGAGATCATTATTTGCAGGTGACTATTAAAATATGCTCCTTTCCTGACATCAACTCTCTTCCAAAGACATGGCTTGAAATCAACAACAATTTATCGCAAAAGCTTATGAGCCAAGCTTTAGGCATCAGCCCCAAACTGTCATTTTACATGAAATAAAATAGCATTGCTATAAGCAACTGAACAATGACTAGTTTTTTTTTTATTTAGAAATCTGTCTTTCAGCTCTTCCATCTGGAAGGTTTTTGAGGTGGGAGCTGTTTGTTAGCATTTAAGGAGAAAACTTGAAGGCTAGCATGCAGACTTTTGCCAACTAGACTCAAAGCTGAAGATAGTAACTCTCGGTCATTTCCTACATTGGGGTAAGTAATTTTTCATTGAAAACACTGAAAAAGTTATTTTTAGCTTTAAATTAGTGTCCACTCATAGGCTCCACTAGGAGCCTCAGTAGGTGTGGAATATCCTCCCACTCAGCTCCATCCCTCTGGTCAAAACACCTTCCCAGAACTCTGTTGAGACCTCATCCAAAATAGCATGGCCATTCTTACAGGGGTCTAAACAGTTCTTTGGCTCCAAGATAGAATCTCCAAATTGCAAAGGCAGGTCATAGGCACAAGACACCTCCTTATATCTTCCTTAGAGCACTTTTTCATTTTCAAAGCACTTTCCCGTCTCTTCCCCCCACTATTTCCTCACAAATTGGCAGTTATTGGCTGATTTGGTTATTCCCACTTGACAGATAAGAAAACGTAAATACAGAAAGATAATTCAGCTTGCCCAAGGTCACACAGACAACCAGAGGCAGAAGTGGTTCTAGAGCCCAGGATCCAGTGTCTTGCCTTTCAGATTAGGACTAGACCAAACCGGTTCTAGTGAAGTTAGTGTCACCAACCAAAAGAGAAACTACACACTCTCCCAGTGTGAAAAAATTTCAAACCACACATCTTTTTAGCTGTTCTTGTGGCTTGTAAAACCATTTATCAACAGAAGCATCTTTTTCATGGGGACTTAGACACAGTTAACACTCGATTATCCATGCTAACAGAGAGGAATAATAGCACTGCATGTATGGAAACAATTTTAATTTGGGATACAATGTTTCATTGGCAAACGATTTACCTAATTTGTAGTGCTTTGCTTAGGTTAATAAGTAAAACTATTTAACATCTACTGATCTACTGATGATCAAATATCCAGAAAAGCCCAAAGGTACTGAAGTTGGCAGGGGGACATTAGTACGTTTTTCACAATGTACTGCTGACAATGCACATATTAATAAATGATAAGCGACTCTATGTAGAATTCTCTGAATTAACAATTGAGCAAAATTTTAGCCTGTCACTTTAGATAAGTTAATACACTAGGTAATGATATAAGCTAAAAGTCTACCTAAAACTAGAAATTCACATAATATTTGTCTTTCGCAATTCAGTGGATCCAGGGTTCAATTTTATTCCACTCTTTGAAACAAATCTCAGATCTACCTAGATTTCTAGGACAATCTTTGCACAGAGGATGGAGTGCTACTGCCATGATTTTCCCTGCAGTGTGGCAAACTAAAGCATTGTTCCAAAAAGCAGTATAAATATGTCATTTATCCAATTTTGAAAATACATTTACCACAAGAATTGTACCCCTGACAATTCCCATCCTGTTGCTAAACTCAGCTATTGTTCAAATTTGCCCAATTCCCATACTGTCATCTCTTACACTCTTAGTTTTCCACGGAAACATTTTTGGATCACAGCTGGTCTTCAATATGCTCTAGAGAAATTTCTTCCAGTCAGGTGATACGAGCTCTGAGAATGCACACTAGTTTAATATTCACCTTAGCACAAACGTAACTAAGAGGGGAAATTTAGTAGATAGAAAAAAATGCATTTCAAAAACAAATCTAAAGAGTTTTTTTCAACTGATTTCCCTTTGGAGAAAACATGCCAATCTTCTGCTCTCTTGGTGCAGATAATTACAATATTATTGTATAAAGGGAGTCAGACCAGACAACAGGGTGAGAGAGCATTTATGTTCAACAAGCCTTCTCTTCCTTAACATGATGACAAGCATGTAACAATCTGCATACAATGTTATACTTGAAATGAAAGAAAACTAGTTTAAAGACTAGGTTAGCTAAACCCTCAAAATTTAAGATCCTTTCCATAAAGAATATTCTTCAGCAGCCGAAGGCTACTTCTCTAGGGGGAAAAAAACTATTTCTGGTCAAATTATGTACAAATATATACGTATATATCATACACAGCTATTCTTCATAATAAGTAAAGTTTACTTTCTTATTCAATCACCTCTTCAGAGATACAGAGAATTTTCAAAAATAAACAGCATAAATAGTTTTGAATAGAAATGGTATTGCTTTTCCTATAATTAGTATTGCAGTATTAATTATCCTGCTATAAAGCAACAATGTGTTTGAAAACTTGCCCTAATTCATTTCAGTAGTTTAAAACATTTGTAGTCTGCAATTTGTGCTTTCTAGTTAACTGATGAATTTGTAAAGGTTAGAACTATTTTAATTTTTTCAAGTCTAGACTTTAGAGGTTCTTAAATGCATAGATTGATTGCCTTATTAATAGAGGTTGATATTAGCATTTATGTTTTCAAACAGCTCATAATGAAGTGCTTTCATTATAAAGACAGCCTGTTTGAAGGAGTCAGAAATCAGAGAAAGAATTTGAGGTCAAAAGTTCCAGTTGCAGAGACTTCTACATTGCTAGTATGCGATGTACTACCCTGGTACATGGAAATACATTCTCTCTACAGGCATTCCTTGCAATGGTACAGTGACTTTCAAATGTTTTCAAAGCCATCAGAACCCATTTTTCTAATGAAATCTTACTCAGAGCCCCAGTTGATAAGCAAAATAAAAGGGACCTGCTCAGATTAAAGATTAATTGGGGACCCAAAACCATACCCACTTATGTCCTCTTCTCCCTCTGTAACCCCCCGGGCAACCTCAAGGCACCCAGGTAGATGAACCTTAGGATTTTGCAGAGCATAGCTTAAAACCCACTGCAAAGTTCCCTCTGTCTCTCTTCTGCCTATCCATGTTCTTCTCACGTGGCTCAGCTGAGCATCCTGTCTCCACACATAGAGCAGCCCTCATTACCCTGATACTTGGAAAATCCTCCCTTCTTTGAATTCCTATGCTAGCTAATTTAGCACTTGACTGCAATCACCTTCAGCAATTTGGGCAAGTTCACATTTTTGAGGGCTTACTATGTACTACGTCCCGTGACTAAGAGCTTTCTTTATACACATTATTGCATTTAATCTTCAAAATAAGCCCTATGAGTAAGGGACTATTCTTAGGCTCATTTTACAAATCAAGAAACTGGTTCATAAAAAAGTTAAGCAACCTGCCCAAAATCACAGACCTCTCAGAGAGGAAGGGGGACCAGACTTGAAACCCAAATCCACCTGACAGCAAAGGACAGGCTCTCTGACTGCTGTTTAATTCATGCGGTATCTCCCTAAGCATATTGTGGCCTTTTAGAAAACAGGAGTCATGTTGTTCAATCCCCCATAGCACCAACGCTGATATTAGCATCATTCAATAAATAATTGCTGATTTTAATTATTTTACATATTTTATATGCTTCTAAAATTTTGCATAGACACTGTATTTTTGATACAATCTTTCAACTTTTTTATTTCTTCACTCAAAGTGAGACCACTTCATACAATGGTCGTTGAACAGAACCGGGGCCAAAATTCTCTAAAGGCTTCTTTTTTTTTGCTTCTGCTTTTTCTCCCCAAATCCCCCCAGTACCTAGTTGTATATTTTTAGTTGTGGGTCCTTCTAGTTGTGGCATGTGGGATGCTGCCTCAGCATGGCCTGATAAGCAGTGCCATGTCCCTGCCCAGGTTCCGAACCGGCGAAACTCTGAGCCGCCAAAGCGGAGCGCGCGAACTTAACCACTCCGCCACGGGGCCAGCCCCTCTAAAGGCTTCTTAATGGCCCATGAACAATTTTGGATTGGAGCTTTAGTGATTTGAACATGATGAATATTTTGAGAATGTAGGATTTGATAACTCTTTTATAAAAGCAGTCTAAATTTCAACCACCTCCCTGATACCCACAGAAGTAAAAACAAATAAAAGAGCTATACCTCAGCGCTCCAAGAACCTGTTTCTGTCTGGGACACTCGGTATGTATAAATGTAACCTTGATACCTGTGAAAGAATAAACTTCCATTACTGAAAAATTCCAAAAGAACAATGGATGCTCTAAATTTGAGCTTAACTGTTATAAACAATGTTACACACTCTGGGACACACGTATATGGCACCATTGTATTCGTAGGAAGAAAGGCCTGGGGAATCTAATTTGCTTGCATACTCTATCTGGCTAATCGCAGTTTCCAGTACGCCTCTTTATCTTTTCATTTTTCTTTTAATGTGGGAGCTTACACTCCTAAGGATTTGTCTAGCTGAGAGACTGGACAGAAAGAAACTAGAGACTTGTTGTAATTGGTAAAAATCACAAATTGTTAAATAGATTTAACAAAGTGTAGTCATTATTTTTAAGTACATATCAAGCCGTAAGAAAAAAACATTTCACTGGGATAAGGTACTATCAGGCCCACTTAAATTAATAGTAATAATAATATTAATTATAAATATAATACTATATTCCTATATTACTATTGCTATGTTACTTTAATATGTTATACTATAATACAGCAGTAATAGCAATTTGAATTAAAAAGGGGTCCTGTTAAACTACTCGAAAGCAGCGTGTCCTTTTAGATCGGGTAAGCACTTCCCCCTTAACTCAGGGTGTGTGCATACTGCACATTTGTACTGTTGATTTCTACTACATGCCAAGAGTTTTACATGCGATATTAGTTTGCTCCAGCTGCCATAGCAAAATATCATAGACTGGGTGGCTTAAACAAAAGAAATTTATTTTCTCGGAGTTCTGGAGGTTGGAAGTCCAAGATCAAAGTGCCAGCAACATAGGTTTCATTCTGAGCCTTCTTCTCTTGGCTTGTAGGTGGCCGCCTTATTGCTACGTGCTCACATGAGCTCTTCTTTGTGTGCATGCACAGAGAGAGCGATCTCTCTGTCTTCTTCTTATAAGGCCACCAATCCTATTGGATTAGAGCCTCACCCTTATGGCTTCATTTAACCTTAAATACATCCTAAAGGTCTATCTCCAAATACAGCCACATTAGGTGTTAGGCTTCAACATATGAATTTGCAGGGGACATGATTCAGTCCATAGCATCCCACCACTGGTGCCCCTAAATTCACATCCTTCTCACATGCAAAATACATTCATTCCATCTCAATAGCCCCCAAAGTCTTAACTCATTCTAGCATCAGCTCTAAAGTCTAAAGTCCAAAATCTCATCTAAATGGTATCTAATTAGATATGAGTGAGACTTGAGACATCCTGAGGCAAAATTCCTCTCCAGCCCAGACAAGTTATGTGCTCCCAAAATACAGTGACAGGACAGGCATAGGATAGACATTCCCATTCCAAAAGGGAGATATTGGAAGAAAAAAAGGGGTGCTGAGTCCCAACAAAGTCCAAAATCTCCTAAGGCAAATTCCATTAGGTCTTAATGTTGGAGAATATTCCTCTTTGGACTGATGCTCTAGCCTCCAGGCCCATTGGGTGAGTCCGTCACCCCCACCGCTCTGCAAGAGCGACCCCACCCACTTGGCTCTTTTGGGCATTGATCCCACCTTTGAAACCTAGGTGGAAGCAGCCCACCCCCCAGCCAGGGGCCTGTGCACTCTGGGCCTGTGGTGGGAGTGGCATCCCTGATGATCTCTGAATCGCCTTCAGGGTCCTTCCCTTTTCTTGAAAGATAAAGCATGTTTGCAGACAAATTACTCTATTGTTCTGTCCTGTTCCCTTTGGTCCAAACTGACAGTGTCTCTGATGCTTTGGTCCGAACTCTACTCCTGGCTTCTGCTGAGATGGCTAGTTAACATCAAGGGGAATCTCCTTAAGGAGTGATTGTCTAACCATACCCTTTGTGTTCTCTCCAGAACAAGCTTCCCCATTTTTTGCCGTATGGGTAGGCTGAGAATTTTCCAAATATTTAAGTTCTGGTTTTTCTTTGCTTAACAATTCTTTCCTCAATTCATCTCTCTCGCTTTCCATTTTACTATAAGCATTCAGGAGGAACACTACGCTTAGAAATCTCTCCAGGTAAATATCCAATTTGCAAGTTCGACCTTCCACAAAATACTAGAGCACAGTTCAGCCAAATTCTTTGCCTTTTACAACAGGGATATCCTTTCCTCTAATTTCCAATAACGTGTTCCTGATTTCCACCTGAGACCTCACCAGAATGACCTTTAACATCCATAATTCTATCAACGCTGTGTTCACGGCAAGGCAGGGCTTTGCTAGCCTGCGCCTCCAAACTCCTAGCCTCTACCCATTACCCAGCTCCAAAGCCCCTTCCACATGTTTAGATTTTTGTTACAGCAGTAACGTACTTCTTGGTACCAAAATCTATATTTGTCCGCTCAGGCTGCCATAACAAAATACCACAGACTGGGTGTCTTAAACAAAAGAAATTTATTTTCTCACAGTTCTGGCAGTTGGAAGTCCAAGATCAAGGTGCCAGCAACATAGTTTTCATTCTGAGGCCTCTTCTCTTGGCTTGTAGGCAGCCACTTTCTTGCTGTGTGCTCACGTGACCTCTTCCTTGTGTGCGTGCACAGAGAGAGAGAGCTCTCTCTCTTCTTCTTTTTCTTATAAGGCCACCAATCCTATTGGAATAGGGCCCTACCTTTATGACCTCATTTAACCTTCATTACTTCCTAAAGGCCCTGTCTCCAAATACAGCCACATTGGGAGTTATGGCTTCAACGTACGAATTCGACAAAGACACGATTCAACCATAGCACATGCGTTATCTCTTTTGGACCCCCACAACAATTCTATGAGCTTTACATTGTGAAATTCATTTTATAGATGAGGAAACTGAGACTTCGAGAAGTTAAGTAACCAAAGCCACACTAGAGACCAAGCAGCAAAGAAAGGATTTGCATCAGGCCTACTGGACTCCAGATCCCCAGCTCTTGATCTCCACACTGTAACGGATATAGATTCTTTACTATATTTTAGTATATACAGTAATGCTACTTAATTTGCCTGACAAACTTTTACTTCATAGAAAAGTAAGGTAAACTTTATTCTGAATTATTTCAAACTATGAATGTGAATCTGGATCAACAGAGCTTTATTTAAGACATTTTCTGATTGTTATTCTTAGGCACAAGTTTGGGTCAATATAGATCTTTGGTTAGAATACATGGTAAACTCTGGTAAAAATAAATGTGTTTAAACTTAAAAGAATGGATAATTCTAAAGCATTCCAAACAGAGGGTCATCCTTGAGTAATTGACCTCATTTTCCATTTACCCCCTTTAGAACTAAAAGTCTTTAAAGATGTGGATTAAATTACTATATCTTTAATCAATATCCATCAGTACTGATTAAAGGACAAAAAATATACACCTAAAACACTCTAATCAGGTTCATTTGATTTGCAAAACCAAAAAAAACGTCAATTTAATTGTCAGTGTGATTACAGGAAATTTTTCATTTTTGATATGAAAGTTTGCCAGAATAATTAAATCATATATAAAGTAGCCTGATATATGTATATATAATATGCTAAATAAACATAAAATATTATATTGTTAAAGTCTTTTGTTTTTTTAAGCAATCAAAATCTATCTCAAAACCCACTGATTTCATTAAGTACTTTAGGGGAAACAAGGTAAGAGCGTTGATTTCCATTTTTCACCATGGGAACTTGAAACATAAGGCTTTAAGTGATTTTCTTGAAGTCACGCAAGAAAATGGAGATAGAAGCAGGGAAATGGCATAGGCCTTTAGTTCCATTTTCCCTATGGGAAGCAATTAATGGCAATAACTTGGTATCATTAAAGGTGATGTAGAAACGCATTATTTAAAATCTCAGCAACAAAGCAAACAAAATCATAAGCAACCGGTTTTCCACTTTCTAAAACAGTGGGTCTCTAAAAAGTACAATGAGTCTATCTCCCTACTATCATTCAGCCTCATTTAGTCAAAATAAAAGAGTCTGTTTTGAAAATTGTTTCCTAACGAATCTGATCTTATCTCACTTTCAGTTAAGCAGCAGGAACCTGAGTACCACTTCAAAAGTCCTTACCTCCTTCAGTCTCTGAACAACCAGGTGTCAGTGGCACATAAAACTTCTTGTGATTAACCCATCTAATATTAACAATTTCCTACTTCCCAACCCCTCAAATTTCTGAATGAGCAAAATCGCTTCACCCCTCAAATAAGCCGGAAGTTCATCCCTTCCACTTTCAAGTCGCTGAAGTAACTGACCAAGGATCGCAGGCAGTCAGCTCATACGTTGACTACATTATCATCTGTCATGGATGGAAGAGATCCAAAACAGTGCGATTCAAATGACCATTCCCGGGGTAATAACATCGGCATCACCTGTGAGCATGTTAGAAACGTAGAGAACTGCTGAATCAGAATCTGCATTTTAGCAAGATTCCCAGGTGATTTGTAAGAACATTAACGTTCCAGAAGGACTGACTAAATTCAAAGAGAATGCTCACACCTTATTGGGAATATTGATGGTAATTTCCCCAAAGTCAAGCTGGCTTCTTTCACTCACCCAGGGTACTTCGGTGCCACCTCTCCCATAGTCACTCAGTCTATGCTTTGAGAATGCAATTTTATTTACATATAAGCTGAAGCTTTTTCAATTGTTTCACTTTTCACAGAGCAGTGTTTCTGAGCTATTTACTCCCTCTTCCCCAACAAGATTTCATAGTTTTGTTTTCTGTAGCTTTTAGTACGAAACAATAATTTTATATTATAAAATTAAATTAAAATATTCAATATGTTTTTTCAAACTACACCTACTCTTTCCCTGTCTGCTGAAAAAAATCACTCTTTTGGAAATAAATTGGCAAGTAATAACAAGAGCTATAGAATCATGCATATTTTTGACCTAATGACCTCGCTTATCTTCATACATTCCAAGGAATCAAAGGAAAAAGCAATTTGACACAGATTTTCATAGTAGTTCTATTTTAATAGTGAAAAAAATGGAATTCACGTAAGTATCTCTAAACAAAGAATGTTGCTCAAAATAAGGAAATGGTAGCAGAAAGAATGGTTCAAAATTATGCTG